ATTTTAAAAATGAGATACCGTCCTTATCATTGACTTGATTGATCTACATTATGATATCAATTTTAATTTAGATTTAAATAATTCAACTGCAACATTTTCATTGGTCCATGTAGACAAATGTATGGTACCTTATGAGCTTATGAGTACCATAGAATTTGTCTTTTTTTATTTTACTTAACTATATGAGGATGCTATAAGAAAAAGAAGATTTACCTTAATAGAAGCAAAACATGACACTTTTCCCAAAATAGGACCAATTAGTTTAAACATTCTTAAATGGGACTTTTCATGTGTGATTGGACCAAAATACTTCCACTGCAGCCCCTGGATTGCTACCTGCCGCCGCCACCGCCGGAAAATTTTCCAGATTTTTTTCTGAAGGTCTGCCAACATTTCTGCCACTGCCGGAATCTGCCGCCGCCACCACCGGACTGTCCCCGCTAGTAAAGAATTGCCTTGGTTGTGCAAGAGCACTGGAGGGGGAATTAATTGGGTTAATTACTTGCGGGAGTCCGCTGCCAGAATCTGCTGCCGACCGGCTGCCGGAGTGCCGCCTCCACCACGGACTGCCCCGCCATCGACGACTGCCTTGGTTGTGCAAGGAAACTAGAAGGACAACTATTTAGATCAATTAATTAATTTAATATAATTAGAGGTAAAGAAAAAGGTAAGATTAGTCCTATTTAGGGAACATTGGAACACCAAACATTAAGTCCTATTTTAAAAAAAGTCTATGTTTTTTTCTTATCCATGACAATTTTTTCATAAGAAAGAGGGTGTGGTGCAGTTTTTTAAATTTATCATTTAAATTGATACCTATGTGGATAAAATTGTATAATGTCTCGTTGACATATGAGGGTTCATTGTCTTTTTTGTGTTGACATATCATGTTCTTTTAAGTAGGTGAGCACTTACTCTATGAGCACTTAAAATGTTGGCATATCTGCGTCTTCCTGACTTGCTGAGTCAATGTAGTCTATGATATGTCTATACGGGTTATGATGTTGTTTATTTAAATTTGAGAATCAAAAGGTTAATTGTGCTTATGTGTTGCTCTTCTTGTTCTGTTATGTCCATGAGCGGTTAAATATGGGGTGTTTGGAAAATGAAGTTTCAATTAAAAAAAGTGGCGGTCAGAGTTGTTTAGTCCTAACATTTTTGGATGGAACTGCTATTAAGGGCATCTCTTGTGAAATAATGGAAAATGTTATCCAATAGGAATCCTGGTAGATATATTTATAGAAGGAAAAACCGCACTTTTCAGTTCCTGAAATAGTCACCTGATTGAAATGTGAGACTTGTATTTCTGAGATTGTAAATGTCACCCCTCCATTGTCCAAAATGTTGTAAATGTGGTCCTTTAAGGAGTAAAATTTACTCTCGCTCGCATTGTATATTTCACTCATCAAAGGACCACATTTACAACATTTGCGACAATTGAGGGACGAGATTTACAAACACTGAGAACACGAGTTTGACATTTCAATTTCGTGACTATTTCAGGGACTAAAAGTGTGATTTTCCCTTTATAGAAAAGTTGACAAAATATAAAATATTCCTAAATAGATATTAGGCAATTTCCTAAATATGTATTAGGCTATTACACCCCCTCAAACTGTAAAGGAGATACAACGCGCAGGTTGTCCTTTAAAAAATGAAACTGCTGACTAGATAAACTCTTAGTAAATATATCAGCTAGCTGAAGATGAGTAGGAAGTAGGAACATACTTCACAACTAAATCACCGTGCGCGACTCTCTCACGAACAAAATGATAATTAATCTGAAATGCTTAGTGCAAGCATGCTGAACAAAATTAGCTGTCAAGTAGGATGCAAAGATATTATCACAGAAGAGTTGTACCGGAATCTGGACTTGAAATCCGAGCTCAAAAAGGACAGATATGATGTGTAGGTATCATGGACTGTGTAAGCAATCTCTCAATATTCCGCCTCTGTAGATGATTTGGACACCGTAGGCTGCTTTTTGGACTTCCATGACACAAGTTCAGGGCCCAAGAAAACAACAAAACCTGTAGTGGAACGGGAACAATCTGGACAGCCAGTCCGATCAGCATCAGAGTAGGCCACAATGCATATGGGACATGGAGAACTATGTAGCCATAATCCATAACCAATAGTGTCGTGTAGATAATGAAAACTTCGTTTGATAGCAAGCATGTGAGTGGTACGAGGAGCATGTATAAATTGTGACATTAAATGAACTGCATAAGTAATAAAAGGTCTTGTCAAAGTTAAATACTACAATGCGCCTACCATACTGTGATACTTAATGGCATCCACCAAGAGTTTGCCATTAGGAGAGAGAGAGAGAGAGAGAGAGAGAGGAGAGAGAGAGAGAGAGAGAGAGAGAGAGAGAGAGAGAGAGAGAGAGAGAGAGAGACGTGTGTGCAAACAGACTTGAGAGTATGCAAGTGAAATGGAGAAGAAGATCAAACACATATTTTTTTAAGGGAGAAGAAAGATGCTTGTAGATTTTCGAACTGCTTGAATGCCCAAAAAATAATGAAGATCACCTAGATCTTTAATAGCAAAATGAGATGCAATGCGGCTAATTTTAGAAGACACCAGAGAGGATGAATTGCCAGTAATAATAATGTCATCAACATATAACATTAGATAAATCATTGACTGAACCTGGCGATAAATGAATAAAGAATTACGGAGTACCAGACTTGCTACATAAAAATTATTAGCATGAAGAAAACTACTAAAACGGTGAAACTAAGCCCGCAGGCCCTGCTTAAGACCATAAATGGCTTTTCGCAGACGACATACATAATAGCCTAATATGGATTTATGAAACTGTCTAATATCTATTAAGGAATACTTTGTAATTTTTTTTTGAAATCATGGGAAAGGTTACCCAAATAGGGGTCGTGGGAGATATATTTATAATAGAATAGTTGTCAAAATACAAAGTATTCCTTTAATAGATATTAGGCAGTTTCCTAAATCTATATTAGGCTATTATTCCCATCCATAGGATTATTTAAGGATTATTTTGATGATGTGGATGACATTTTTTGAGATTATGATTGAGATATTAGGATTATTTGAAGAGATTATTTGATTAAACATCTGGGATCAAATGCTAAATCTAGATTATTTGAAGATTATTTCCAACTTTTAGTCTCCTCTCCCAATTTTCTAGACATACTCATAATTGTAAAACCGTATACCAACCAACTACTACTTGTACGGGAGTGTTTGCAATAGCTTAAAAAAAGCACTTCTCAGCTTTTGGCTTAAAAATCACTTATTTACCAAACACTACCAATTTTTACTTTTTCTCGGCTTGCATGTGAAAGTGTTTTTCCCTTTTCTATTATACAAAAAGAACTTATTTTACCAAACACTACCAACTTTTACTTTTCAAAATCACTTTTTTCTCAAACACTATCAACTTTTACTACTTACCACTTTTTCCCAATCATTCCAAAAGTGTTTTTTTTAAGCAGAAGCAGTTGCAAACACACCCTACGTGTATTTCTTTAAGGAATTGTGCATGTGATTTTTTTTCTTGAAATTGAGTTATGCCTCATAGAAAATCTTGGTAAATTAAGATCATGGTTGAGGAGAAATTAAAAGGTTTGAAGATTATTTGAGATTTTCTTATATTGAATTAACATCGTAATACTAAACCATTGAAAACCGTAGAATTGAGCATCAATTTGGATGCTTAATACTACGTATGAGAGTTTGGCCTAAGCATTTTGAAATATGACATTTTCTACTAATTGTTAGGTCAAACATTTTAAATCACCAAATATTTTTTGACAACCCGCTAACTTATTTCATTGGTCAAACCTGTTGACTGAATCAGCTATTGACAAACCACGAACATAATCAATCTACTTACCACTAATTACTCCCTATCTCTCTTTGATGTTGGCTTAAGTTGTTCTTGAGATGCCTCTTACATTTGGAGGTTCATGACCTGCTTATATTTCCTTAGACCATTTGTAGTGGTTGGGGATTAGGAGTCAAAAGATTAAAAATGGAGATTTTAGACTCTTATTTGTGTGTAGTAGAGGATTAAAAGGGGGAGTAAAAGTGAAAAGGGGAGTGGAAGAGTGTAAATATAGAGGGAGGGGTTGACAGCCAAACCATGTTTTCGCTGACATCATGGTGACATCATTATAACCCCAAATTGTTTTAAACTCTTGTAAATTTTTTATTTGTTCTCCAAATTTTTCAAAATATATATCAAAATTCATGAAATTTTATGATCTTTCATATGACACCAATATCTAATATATAAAATGAAACAAAAATTTTTAAATGTTAACTGTTGAAGTTTTCTTCCGTTTACAAAACGATGAAACACAAATTTTTAATTCATGGAATCTTTACAAATAACTGAATATTTTATAATCGAACTTTACTTGAACTAAGTTCATTTTTGTTAACCGAAAACATTAAAAAAAATTAATGAAATTTATTTATTTTTATATCGAAATGTGTATTTTTTATTTCACAATTATTTAGGGAAAATATTAAACGGAAAACATTACTTATAATAAATTAATTAATGTTTTACTAAATTGATATGTAAAAAAATATGTTGAGTGTATTTTATTGACGGTGCACGGATGCAGAGAAAAACAGTATTGACGGAGTCAAAACACTGTTTTCATATGGACGGAGTCCAAATTTAACAATTTGGACTCCCAACCACTACAAATGGTCTTACTAAGCAGTACATGACTATCTCTGAGGTCTATTCTATGTTATGTGATAAAGATTCTTTCAACATGAGATTTTTCTAGGATATGTGATGTTTGTTTATTGATATCTGACTGTGACTGATAAATTTATGACGACTCTTCGAGTCTTTGAGGACTATTCTATGCTTATGTGCTTAAATGACGGATACATGTATTATGTTTCTTATTTTAACTTTGATGCTACAATCCTTAAGCATCCTTGAGGCAATACGGGAACCTAACCCCAGAGGATTGCTAGTGTCATCAATCGTATGTTGGAAAAGCTATAAACGACTTATAATTTAAACACTTAAACATACCGTCTGATTGGACACATACGTAAATCTAATTAAACCACACTCCACAGAGCAGAATTGTTCAAAGATAAAAGGCTCATGCAAAAGATGCACTCTGCGACATATATTCAGGTCAATCGAACTATGAAACAGCTATCTACTAATGTCACTACTAATAGCTACATTCACTTCCATAGACACATCCAGGTGATCTCCAAAAACATGAGCAAAACTAAATGACCTGCAATAACTAGAAACACCACAACACAGTTTGCCCCCCCTGCTTCTCTTTTAGAATGACAAGAATAAAGTGAGCAGGGTAAAGGAAAAGGACCCAATGGGCATAAAAAGTGCAAGAGAAGAAGAAGCTGAGCTTCCTGGGGAGGTTGTTGGACTGGTTACACTGGTAATTCCCCCAACAGCATCCGTAGGTGCAGCTGCAGTGGAGCTTTGTGGCAATGCCGAAGGAGATGGAGCTGCAAAAAGATAGAAAAAAGAAAGATAGATGTGTGTAATAATTTATGGTTATACAATACTGGTGACCATTTGGAAGGTTTATTATTGAGTTTAACAGACTTATTTGACTAGTTTTTTTTAGTTATTTTACTAGCTTCTTCCAGTTCGCAGATTAAACGCAGACAATACCATAAAGCAGGGTTGGGGTTTCTTTTAACTTTCATATCTGAATTACGTTAGCTTTGCATAAGAAGCTGAATTTGGTAAAATGATCAATTTAAGGTTATTTTTGGCTTGCTTTGTTAATGAGTAATGTCTTTATTAACATATATTTATTCTATAATAGGTATAAAAAACTGATTGATAGGCATTGATGGAAATGATAATATATCATAAATGCTTACCAGTCAATTAAGATTTTTGCCAAGTGTAAGTAGTGATTGAAAATAAATTTGATGTAAACATGACTTAAAGACGGACGATTAAGTCTGTGTGTAAATTAAAACTATTAAGTCACAGGTAAATAACTTCTTGAATGTATAATCGAGGAAATATTTAGAAGTTTAACTAAATTAGCAACAACTTCAATTTGAGCAACTCAAACACATCCATATTCAGCAAGAGCAGATTCAACCATTATATACATTCGTGATAGCAAGTTTGACTAAAATGGCTATCAATGCATCCCATACTACAGAGTAGTGAACAATATTAACTTTCACTTTCTCCCCCATAAAAGGTTTTCCTTTCTAACGTGTAGTTCATGTTATTTCCTTCCTTCTACCTAAATCACAATCATAAAATTCTAATGAAACAACAATATTTTTGGTTGAGCAACAGAAACACAATCCAACAACTAATGACGTTTCTGTGAGGAGGAGAACAAAATGCATGACAGCACCATGATTGATATGGTAACAGACCGGATCTTGAACTTACCAGGCGATGGAGTGCTTCCACTAGTCACTGTATATCACATATATTTGGAAGAAAAAGACAATTTGATCAGATCCATGAAGTAAAAATAAAGAGCATTCTATGAAGAATATGCAATGGCTAAAATGAAGCATTCAAAGGCTAAAAATCAGTATGAGAAAAAGATGTGTAAAATTGACCTTTCCATAAAGGTCAACAAAATATTACAGATTTTAGCTTTGACTGCTGTGAGGATTACACATTTGATACCCTTTTTTAAGTTTTCACTTTCAGCTTTTTAAATACTTCAATATTGTTTTGGCAAAAAAAAAAATACTTCAATATTGTTTATTCAAAAAAGAAATACTTCAATATTGTTCTAAAGACGCAGGACTAAGTCAGTAGGTGACATTTTAAATACACATTAAGAGTGGCATTGTCATAGTAGAAGACTAAAGTTGAAAAAATTGGGAATCAATTATCAAACTATAGTCAATTTATGCAACATCTCAGAGTAAAGCATGCAAAAGTAAAAAATTGAAAATAAAAGTAAGGATTGAACATAAAATTTCCATAAAGATGTATCCTACAATCGAATCAGTGGAGTAGGTTTTGAAATTGGGGAAAAATAAAATCAAATGAAATCCAGAGGAAGGAGAACCAAACACTCACAGGCGCAGGTGGTGGCGGAATGAGAGGAGACACGGCAGACAGCGGGGAGCGACATGGCCTGGGTGAGATTGAGAACCACTCCCAATTGCGCGCTTTTCTCGAAGCCTTCGCAGAGACACTCGGCGTTGGTCTTCAGCACCTTTTTCAGCCCGGGGCAGCAGTTTCCTTCCGGCTTCTTCAGCACGCTGCCGTTGGTAACGAAGGTCAGGCAGTCCTCCAGGTTCAGTATGACGCTGTTGCAGTCAGCTGCCGGTGCCGGAGCATGGTGTCGGGCGGAAACCGCCGTCAGAGCCCAAATCGCGAGGAATACTAGAACTGGATGCCCGATTGCGTTCAGACGCATTGCCATTTCAGAGCGAAAGATTACGAGAAACGGACGGTTCGAAAGGAAGCTTGGATTGGCGTTAGAACCGAAACTGGGGAAGCCGGATTTGTGTTTCTATCAGTCTGAGGGCATAAATAGGGTGTGAGAGTGGACGAACACGTGGAAGTGAATAAATCATGCGTTGTTGAAGATTAAAATACATCGATCATTGTGTTTCCTCGTCCCATCGGACGCCCTTCCAAGTTCCAAAGAGGAATTTAATTGAGAGTAAAATTGAATTTATTACCAATTTACTACTCCCTATCATTCATTATACAGTTATTGTTTTTGAATTTTTGAATGTTTGAATGGTAGATGTGACAAATTTTATTACGAATTTTCTGTACAAAAGTTTTATTGTCTCCTCCTCTAAATTATTTTCCAAATTTCTTTTTTCTATCTCTCCTAAAATAATTTTATCTTGCCTGTTTTTATAAAGAATTTCAGATTTATGATATTTTTTACTCATTTCACTCTTTTACATAATTTTTTACCACACATTTCTCACTTTTTTAATTCACATGTAAAACTCACTTTGTGAGATAATTAAAGGAAGGAATTAAAGGAGTAATAATAATAACTTAACTCTGCAAAATGTTAGGAATTTCATCCCTCAATTTAATAACAAGTAGAGCATAGTGATATACTTATGCATTCCATAACAAGTGAGAAAGAAGTTTGACATACACGTTAAAAAAAATTGACACACCTAAAAGTGAAATTGGGCAAAATATTAAGGCACGGGGGAATATTTTTTTAAACTATTAATAATGGGATTATAAGTATACTTGTTGCAAATACAAAGGATGATATATTGATATACATTAGAATTTCCAAACAAGAGCAACACTTTGATACCCTACTAAATGAAGGATTGGAGATGCAATTTTCCGATTTAATTTCTACAATTAATAAATCAATATACAGAGTACTTTAGTTGGGATAATTTCATTGGGTACTAATCTGAACGGTTCCAAATGTCTCATTGTTTTTTTTAAGAGAAATGTCTTATTGTTTCAGAGGATTATATTCAAATTGACGTTTTATTACAAGCGCGCATTAAGAAACTAATTAGATTATTGTGTATAGAAAAATATATTACATATTTGTATACATTCTGGTTAACGATTTTTCACACAGAAACCATGTGTTGGTGTGTATATTGACAAACAAATAGTGTATATGTGAAGAAGTTCATGTGAAAAACATGTGAAGTGTTCATACACACAAATAATGAGTAATGACTAATGATTGTATATCAGTGTTCAAAAAACGTAAAGGGTGGTAACATACAAGTTCAAGCCTCTAAACTTTGAAATTTAAGCGGGAATGTGTGAACTCGTGAAAAAAAAGATTTTTAGTTTGCACAAGATATATATGAGGTAATTTTGTAAAAGTATAAAATGTTTACATACAAAATGATACTCCGTACAATGTTGCTTTTTATAACATACTCAATACTTCGTATTACATTTCATATATGCAACATGTTTCTAAATGTGATTTTCTTAAATTTAATCAACTTTGTCTTTGTAAGAAAAATTTATCTAAAAAGCATTTAACTTGTCACACCCAGGTCCTTTCGTGTTTAGGCTCAGGGGCGAATGTACTCTAAAGGTAATGGGGACACTTGCCCCCAATAAACTCCATTATTTTAATAAGTAATATAGTCAATGTATATCCACAAAAAAATGTGCGCCCATTAAATATTTTGTGATGCCCCCAATAAAATAATTAGACCGCCTCATATGTCGTATTCCTTATTACATTTTATGTTACTAAATCAACCACATCCTTTTTTTTTACTAGAGGGGGGGGGGGGGGGGGGAGGGGACCTGGGGGAGCCTGGAGTAATCAGGACTGAAACTCACTCCATTGAGTTTCCAACCCTTGTGTGCCTAGCGGGATTTAAACTCGAGACCTCCCGCTTGGCACGGTAACCTCACAACCAGCTAGATTGAAATACTTGGTTTGCTAAATCAACCATATATAAGTATACTCAGTGTTTATTTTTGTCCAAGCAGATTTAAATGAGGGAAATCAAGTAATATAAAATAATGGGCAAATAAAATTGATGTGTATATAGTTGAGTCTAAATGAGATAATTTTAATTTAATAAAATTTAAATGATGTAGTTTTTTCAAGGTTTAATGATTACATGTGGTTTCAAACAATAGCCAGGATAAAATTTATTTATTCACAAATAAACAATAAATAATTTTTTATTAAATGTGAATGAAATTATCTTATTTTTACGCATAAATAATAAGAATAATATTGGGGAAAGAGTCAATAAGGTCTTCTAGTGTCATGTAATCGTCACATAAGGTCGTGTACTCAATAGAGTGTCATATAAATACGCCTACTAATAAAAGGAATCAGACGAGTCCTAAGTCCTAACGACTCGTTGACAACCTCTAATCCCGACTTTAGCTTACGCGTCATTAATTTTGGCTTGTATTTAAGCCAATTTTGGCTAAATATTCCATACCGGCCTTATAATCTATTTTCAAAAGATGGTTAGACGTACACTAAAACCGGGATCACGAGGTTATCGAAAGGACATTAGGATTCATCCGATTGCTTTTTATATGAAATTATATTTATATGACACTTTATTTAGTACATGACTTTATGTGACAATTTTATAATAATAGAAGACCTTATTTGACTCTTATTCAGAATAGTATTTGACAAATGTTGTTTAGTTTTATATGGCGTATTATTAATGAAATTTAGCCCCTTTTAATTGCGTAATTTTAGTGATTAGCGAATTAGTCATGCACCAATTTATAAAAATAAGAAAAGTTTCTAAATAGGACTAAAACAAAATTTAAGTCAATAAATATAATCTAGATGGTTAATTCTCAAAATATGACTCATTATTAACTTCTATTTTGGGAAGTTTAATCACTTTATAGGACTAAATAAATCCTATTAGGGAAATAAAACATACCTAGTTCTATTTTTGAACTTTGTATATGTTTTAGTACTACATTACTACATTGAACCATTTTTAAATTAAAAATGCATTAGAAATATTAAGTTCCTACTTTAAAAAATCACTAGATATATAAAAACCTCTGTAATCACATAGTAATTAATTTATATATTGCATCATAAACGTAACATATATGCTAAATCATAATTATAAGTAGTGCTAATTTCGTCTCACTCAACTTTTCCAAGTTGACTTAAGTGTGAAATTAGAATATACTCTGTATAAGATAGTGCCTCAATACGTATTTTTTGGGACACAAAAAATGAAAGTTAACAAAGTCCAGTCAGACGGAGGGAATATAAGATAGTGCCTCCAATACGTATTTTTCCTGGATCCGCCCTTGGTTTCAGAGCCGGCCATGAGGCTAGTTTGGCCAGGCACTTGCCTAGGGCCTCACAATTTTGGGGGCCTCTGTTTTTTTAGTATTACTAGTGCTAGTATTAAAATTAACTTGATACGGTAGAGATTCGAGAAGAGAGCCAATCGTCGCCCAAAGCTCTAAGACGTGCTGGAAGGCCCCCAAACCCCAGACCTATCACTGGCAAAGTGACGACTGTGAAGCCCAAACCTGTAAGACGATGCCCGGCTCTAACTTGCCAACTCCTGCAATTTCCATTTCCATTCCTCTTTTTCTCTATTTTATTTATTCCTCTGTGGCCCTGCTGCCCTATTCTTCTCCCGGAGTTCCGACATAAGTAATAGTATTACTTGCTATGCATAATAGCGTCACTATGCAATTGGCCGTAAATTGAAAACTTGGTATTTTGGAACTTGTTCGGGAGTTCTACAGACTTCTTAACACTTCTCAATTCTAAAGAATAAATTGACTCATTAATCATTATATGCACCTTTTTATTAAGAATTTCATAATAATTGATTGGTTGTTAATTGGTGATGATGTTATTATTACTAGTCATTTACTTCGTTTGTTTTACACTAATACGAAATGGTTTATAATTGTATTTTTTAAATGAGTAATTGTTAAATTTAGTTTTTTGTTTGTGCTTTTTGATTAATAATTATAATGTTAAGTATGTAGGTATTGGCGGTATTGCTATGACGGATAAACGTAAATTTGAGTCAGGATGTACAAAGATAAAAAAAAAACAAGTTGAGAAGAGATTTGAATATCTTTATTTCTCATATGGTGTCTTTATCTTCATTTTACTTAATTTTCAAGTCTATGTCTTACAGAGTATATAAATCAATTTATGCATTAAATTTTTATCAAATTTGGTTATGTTTTTTGGGGTAAATTTTTTAATGTAGTTTCTGAATATGTATTTTTTTTCTAAAAATAATTTAATTGCTGGAACAAATTGAGACAGAGGGACTACTTCGTATATGCATATTAAGCGTTTTTCGCCTAGGGCCTCAAAAATGCTAAGGCCGCCCCTGCCTGGTTTAAGCCTAATTTAGGCTTGTGCCTTTTTACACATTTGGTACCAACTTTTTTAAGACTTTCTACCCTGAGGGGCGCTTTTCCTCTGCCTCACGCCTAGGCGCTAACATTATAACTCCATATAGATAATTAGATACTATGTACTCCCTATTAATTTACACACTTATTTGTATAGTTTGTGTAAATATATATGCCAAGATGAACATAAATCGACAATTGTGATAAAATTTAAAAAAAATCTAGAATAGACTAGAATTTGTTATCCAACTAAAAATATCTAGACCCTATTTGGATGCTCTACATCAATTAACTTAGGACTGAAATCTTCAACTTAACTCAATTGCAATAATTATAGCCTCATTTTGATAATACCTGGAAGGTAGCTGAAGGGCATAAACTTAGCTAGGTTTATTGAAACGTTGAGTTCATTTCCTATAATCGAAGACTATATTTAACCATTATACCCATAATGTTTTGAAAAAATCACGCAACCATTTTTTAGGAATGTCAATTGGTGATCTTCCTTTGATCAACCTGTACGCGAGGGAATTTTTACCACCACTTGAGTCGCGTAGAGGTAGGATGTTTTAATGGAGTTTCATACTTTGTTGCAAGATTAGCTATGATCTAATAGATATTTGATGCATGTATACAATTATCAAAGTCAAACTTGGTCTAATTTGATTTGGAAGGGGTGAAGATGAAGGTGGAAAGAAAA